TTTAAAAAAATTTAAAATGACTAAAGTACCAAAAACTATAAAACACAAAAACCATAATCATCATTAAATTCTCTAAATCTATCATTCGCTAATATTCATGGTCTTCGTAATAACTTTCAGGATTAAGTAAATTTCAGGATTCAGGATAACCTGACCTGACATTCATAGGAACTCTCTCATTTGTCAGGAAACTAGATTTGAATCCACAGACTATTCTTTTATGCGCTTTTGTTAAGCACCACTTCACTCTACCACCTTTTACTTCACTCTTTTTGCTTCCTCCCTTTTTGTTCTAATTTGCTCTTCTTCATCTCAAGACATAACTCTTTTCGATATTATTTCTGATCATATTGACCAAGCCCTTTCTTTTTATTTTTCAGCCAATATAGTTGTTGTTAGCGACTTAAATGCTCAATATACTGAATAGCTTAGCTCTTGCGTCAGTAACTCTGGAGGCACTAAGGCCCACAACCCTTGCCTTTCTCAATCTCTAACATAGTCAACTTCCTAACAAGCTTTCCAGAAAATTCGAATCATTTACTTTACAAGATATAAGTTTACTAGACTTATATCTTGTTTCTGTTCCTAGTTAGTGCTCAATTTCTCCATATTCACCCTTAGGAGCAACTATTATTTCATTCTTTCATTTTCATGAAGCCCCCAATCATCATGCTTTGCAATACTACATTAAAGCTGACTGGGACTCTTTCCGTGCTTTTCTTTATGATGGCTCTTAGGTAGAATTTTTTTTTCTTACTGCTGACAAATGTGCTTATGTAACTTCTTCAATTCAGGTTGGCATTTTCCAGCCTGCTGGAAAGTAGCATCTGTTATCCCTATTTTCAAAAATTCTGGAGAGCAATCTGACTTATCAACCCATTAGTCTTCTTCCCAACATAAAAAAGTTTTTTAAATCTTCAATTAACAAATACTTCTCTCATCTAATCTAATAACTTTTAATTCTTTAATTAACAAATATCTCTCATCTTATCTAATAACTTACTTTCTGATCATCAATATGGATTTTGATCTTCTTGTTTTACAGCTGATTTGCTAACAGTAATAACCAATAGGTTTTATAGTGCATTATATAGAGGTGGAGAGGTTAAGGCATTTTTAAAGCTTTTGATAAGGTTTAGCATGCTGGTCTTCTCCAAAAGCTTTCTTCTTGTGGTAAATCAGGTAACATCTTTAAGATTATTAAATCATTTCCAATCGTAGTATAAAAGTTGTCTTTGATGGAAAGCACTCTTTGTATCCTGTAACTTCAGGAGTTTCTTAAAGTTTTAACCTATACTCCTAATAATCTATATTAACAATCTTCCAGATATTCTTACATCTAAGGTGGCATTGTTCACTAATGATACTACCATTCTTGTCTTTATAAGAAGCCAACACTCTCTAATTGGAGGGGGCATTCAAGCTTAAAAAGCATCTCACTTCTGCAACAGCATAGAGCTAACAGTGGCTGATGAACTTTAATTTAGATAAAACTCAATTTTTTTCAGCCAATTGTTATAACAACAATTTATAACTTCCTATATTACGAACTTCCTATATTAATGTACTTGATGAGTCATCAAACCCTTCATGTTCTAAGATTAACTTTTACTTTTGTTTTTTTTTTGGAAACCATATACCAAATTCATTGAAAGATTAGCATCTGCTAAGGCTGCATCTCTTTATCGTGCTGGCCACTTTCTCACTCCGGATTCTATTTTTTATATCTATAAATCTCAAATCAGTCCTTGAATGGAAAACTGTTGCCATATCTGGGTCAGAGCTAGCATCTTTTGTGCCATCTACGAAAAATCATTCTCGTGTTATTCGCCATTTAATTAAGTCTCATCCTATTTCAGTGACTTCTATGTGCTCTAAAAACTCTTATTAGTTTTGTTTTTTCCTCAAACATCAGTTATTTGGAGTTCACTTCCTTCATCTTACTTTCCTGATTTATATTTGCAATCTTTTAAGTCGTCTGCCAATCGTTATCTTACTATATAAACTTAATCTTTTCTCTTCCAGTAACTTCCAACTCTAACAGTAGTTGCTTGCAAACTTGTTGAAAGCAAAAATGATGAAAAAAAAAACTCCTCTCCAAGTTAGTGGTCTGAACAACATTTCTGTATAAAAGTGCTCTTTAGAACTTTCTTTATTACTCTGTAAACTATTCAACAAGTGCTATAACTCAATTTTGTCACAACTTTCGAAATCTCTGGAGATTATTCTAATCTCTCTTACTATTGCCCAATCAATTTTCTTACTTATGTCTTCTTATTCTTACTATGCCTTATTTTTATTATGTCTTTTTATTTATACTATGTCAAGTCTTTATATCTTCAAATAAAAAATTTCATCTTGAGTTTAACAACTTACTTCCTGACAATCAATATGGGTTTAGATCTTGATGCTCTACTGCTCTAGGCATACTAACTAAATGTCTATATATATATATATATATATATATATATATATATATATATATATATATATATATATATACATATATATATATATATATATATATATATATATATATATATATATATATATATATATATATATATATATATATATATATATATATATATATATATATATATATATATATATATATATATATATATATATATACGACACTAACTATTAAAATTGTCTATTATTAACCTGTCTATTAAAGTTAGTTTTTCTTGATGGAAAACACTCTACTTAATTTTTAATCACTTCTGTTTAAAATTTTAAGAAAAACGTTTCAACAATGTTTGATTTGAAAAAAATTTGATATATAAATATTAAGTCTTAATACTTTCTAAAAGTGTTTTAGCCTTAAAACAAATTTGAAAATAAATAATTCATGCTGCATGTTTCTGTTGTTTGAAGCAACAATTGTTATTTCCAGTATATTTATACCCAATCTATCTGCTAAGCTTGAGCCTCTTTTCCATCGTCGTAAAGTTGCATCTCTTTCTCTTTTCTATAAATACTATCATAGTCGCTGCTCAAAGGAGCTTATATCTCGAGTTCCATCAACTAAAACTCATTCTTGCTTGACTTGCCATTCATTAAAGTCTCATTCTTTTACTGTGTCTGTCCCTGCATGCTCTAAAAACTTTTATTCATCTAGCTTTTTTCCCTGTACTTCAACCCTTTGTAACTCTCTCCCATCTTCATGTTTTCCTGACTCATACAACCTTCAATTTATTAAGTTCAAAAATAATAGCTCCAAACTTAATAGTGGTGGCTTGTAGTCTTGTTGGGAGTGAATCAGAAATATATATATATACATATACATATATATAAATATATATATATATATATATATATATATATATATATATATATATATATATATATATATATTTATATACAGGGCCTATTCTAGGAAGAAAAAATTTGGGTGGCGGTACCCCCTCATTCCGGCAAACTTTAGCATAAAATCAGCGGTTTTTTGCTAAAATAACAATATTTGCCGTAAAAACTTTAAAAAAAAAGAAAAAGGTCCTCAAATTTTTATTTGGACGGCGCCCAAATACAATTGACGCTGTCGAAAACAGCCTAGAATAGCCCCTGATATATATATATATATATATATATATATATATATATATATATATATATATATATATATATATATATATATATATTAGGGTGCATCAAAAAACAACAATTTTTTAAAATTGCCTTGTCTGTGCTCTAAACATATGTGATATAATAAAATATCATTGGATAAACAAAAAATTTTGAAAAAAAAAAATTTTTAGAGGTGAATAATATTTGTTTTATGTAAAAATTATTATTTTAAATTTTAATGCATAATAACAATGGTTTTTAACTAAATTTTTATTTTTAGTTAAAAAACATAGTTATTATGCATTAAAATTTAAAATAATAATTTTTACATAAAACAAATATTATTTTTGAACTTTTTATAAAATTTCACTTCTTTTGAGTACCAGGTTGACCTACTTGTGAAGAATTTTTTTTCGCAGAATTTTAGGGGCCATATAAATGTTTGAAGGGCACCTCTAAAAATATTTTTTTTTCAAAATTTTTTGTTTATCCAGTGATATTTTATTATATCACATATGTTTAGAGCACAGACAAGGCAATTTTAAGAAATTGTTGTTTTTTGATGCACCCTAATATATATATATATATATATATATATATATATATATATATATATATATATATATATATATATATATATATATATAATATTATATATATATATATATATATATATATATATATATATATATATATATATATATATATATATATAAATAAATATATATATATATATTATATATATATATATATTATATATATATATATATATAAATATATATATATATATACATATATATGTATATATATATATATATATATATATATATATATATATATATATATATATATATATATATATATATATATATATATATATATATAAATGCATAAACATATACCATAAGTTCCAAATAAAATTCATAAAAAGTTTTATTCAAAAATTCCATATAAACACAAGTTATTGATGCTTTAATTAAATAAATGGTTATACAGTGTAAAAAAATTGGAAACTAGTACCAAAATACAAATAACCATAGCAGGTGACTTTAATAAAACATTAACATTGTCTTTAATAAAACAGCTTACTTGAGTAATATAAATCTAATGTTACACAACTGGCAGTGGCAGAGCAGCTGTATTTTTTGTGTAAAGTATTTTATGTATAATTAATTTTTTGTGTAAAGACTAAAACTCCTAAGTAATATCATGCTCAATATACTTATCAATTCAGAATTACAAAATTACGAGAAAAATAAATAAATAAACAGAGCCTTTAGAGCCCTCCACATAAGCACCTCCTCACAGCCTCACAACACTGAATTTGTGGCATTTATAAGAAAATATTTTCTAATTCATTTTATTGGAAACTAATTTTTTTTTAACTAATAAATTAATAAAAACTCAAAAAAAAAAAAAATCCAACTTACCATCCCATGTTCCAAAATATAATTTAGAAGTTACAAAGAATGAAGACTTCCACCATGAATCAAGTTTTTCACCATTCTGTTGTAAAAAGTAAAAATACAAAAAAACTTTCTTTAAATAATTTATTTTTGGAGTTAAAATTTTATAATCATCTTTTATTATTTTTTCACTTTCTTTCAATATTTATGGTAACAACATTTTCCATAATAGTCACTCTTAAAATAATTACTGTATAGCATTTAATTGTACCATATTATCATGTTTGTGCGATTCTACAATCAAATCTACAATCATACTAATCATAGAAAATTAATGAGTGCAAAGTGAAGTGAACATATCAGCTATTATAGAGTATACATATCAGATACTTCTGTATCAAAAATATTTTGCAGTGTAAATTCTTTAACAATAATAAAAAAAACATTTTATATTATTTATTTACATAATATTTTATAGATTCTTTTTGATGTTAATGTTAATGCTTTCTAATTAATGTTAATAACCATTACTTATGCCCCATCTTAGTGGTTAACCATTTTACAAGTAAGAAAATGTTAGAAAACAAAATATCTTTAAATGAAATTCAACTCCCCAAAGCTCCAGAAATATAAAATTTATATTTCTGGCTCATATAAATTAACATTTTGAGCAGATAGAAATTTGGATTAGTAACTAAACTTAACTTTCTCGTTCAGAGAGAAAGCCTTTTGGTGTTCTCGCTAGATCTGAAGTACACCTTTTGATGTTTTTAAACTAGACCTCTCTATTCTAATTCAAAACTCAAGACCTAAAGTTTACATAGCATTTCTGACTTTTGATTTCAACTCAATTGTCCACAGCAGTCCAAAAAAAGAAAACCTTCACATGGTTTTATTACAACTTTGCTTAAATTTTCACTTTAAAAACTAGAAAATCTATGACTTCTTGAGGTTGCCGATTGACAATCCCAAGTTAAAAACATCTATGAGGTCTAAATTAGTTAAAATAACGATTCTGATGATAAATAACTAATTTCTCATAATTGTATACATATTTTAGTCTATTTTTCTAAACTAAAAACTTTGAAAAGTCAATATATTGCTTTTTCAAGGTTAGAAATAAGATTATATTGAATATAAACTCATGATTTGAAATTTGCAATATTATTCACACTTCCTATCAACCTTGTTTTATAGACATAACTTAAAAAATGCTGAGCAACATGTAATTAAGCTGTACTTAATTAAGGTAAAATAATAGTACTCTAAAGAAATGTGTTTTCATGTTCTTTGTGTCAATATATTTTTACAGCAACAAGATATTTTGTTTATTTCTCAACTTTTTTTTTCTAATGTGTACTTATCAAAAAAAAAAAGCTACATAAAATATTTCTTAAAAAAAAATAAAGATAATATAACAAAAAATCACTTTTAATAACCTACAACTTTAGCTAAATACTGTGTGGGCTGAGTGGATGAACCTAAATATTGAGCAGGGGGTTAATTAAACTAAGCAACTTTTTAAGATACTTAATCTATAGTTTTAGCAATATCAAATTGTTCCTTTAGCTGTTTTCTTAGTAATTTTATAAAATCTGGAAGGAAGGATAACATACAAACAGGATTTTCCAAAAAAAATAAACAACTTTTAAAACAGATTTCATTATTGGAAACATGATCCACTTTTTGAAACAGATCCTCCTGATTAAATTATTATCATTATAGGTGTTCTACTTTATTTTCTAACTATCATTGTCAACATATAAATCAAAGTTGTTGTTTACCATTTTTTCAATAGGCCTCTTTATAGTATGGCAAGATGTTATGCAGCTCCATTAAAACTTTCAAAAGTGTAGTTTAAACTGGGTAGATGTTTCTGCATAACCTAAAGGTTTTCCTAATTCATTAAAGAAAACAGCATTTTTTCTTAATAATTATTGCCTCTACATAAATCACCAAAATGTTGGAAGAGTTAAAGATATTAAAATTAACTTAACTTTTTTCATCTTGATTCTCAACAGCACCTACTTCCACATTCGGATCATTTATCTTGTATCAAACAGTCTTTTCAACTAGTGGATCTGTTTCACTAATTTTATACTATAGTTTTTTTTCACTCCTTTTGAAAGTGTAGTTAGCCTCTGGAGAATTATCAAATTTCTTGGGTTTGGGATTTGCATCAAGCTTATACAAAACACTTGAAATTTTTAAAAAAGCATTTTTAGTAAAGCTTTGGATTTCTGGTATAATAGGAACACTATATTTATGTAAAACATAAATTTTGTATTTTGATGTGTAAAAATACTGTGACTGCTTGGTAGTATAGCTATTATCAACCCTCTGAATAAGAAAAAAGGAGGTCGGCAATAATTTGCCGATCTCAATCTTTTAAAGGTCGGCATCAGGTCAGCAAAAATTATTTGATACAAGGGTCTGACCATAAAACATAGAAACGAGGTCCGCAATAATTTGTCAACCTCAAACACTTTCAGGTTGGTGGTTAGGTCGGCATTGCCGAATACCGACCCTAATTCAGAGCGTTGTATTATACTCAGCATTTGTTCTAAATAAACCTTTAGGTGCCAATTGAAACTTAACATTATGAGGAGGATTAAGTTTTACTTTTGCATCTTAATCTTTGAACACAAATTCTGGTTTAAGTTTTGGGGTAATTTTTTCTCTTGAAAGAGAATAATTTTCTTTGATGTATATGCACAAACCAGTATAGTTTAAGCTCTTTTGGGCATGAATCAAGATAAATTAGAATTTTTTTAATACTTTTTTCTTTTACTTAAATAGATACTTTTAAGGAGTGTTTTAATGCAAAATAAGGAATAGACTTTACTTTCTTAAATATAGGAATTTATTTTTGTTTTTTAATTTATTTTTTTTAATATATAGAAGAAATATGCAAAATATACATTATTAGAAAATACTGTAGGTATGAACTTATTGTTCTGTTTTCTTAATTAACACTAGTTTTCATCAGCTATCAAGATTTATACAAAAAAAACTTATTTTATCTTTTCCTTAAATAACCAAAAAAAATATTTTCGCTTCTTTTAAAATGAGTGATTCTTTTAAATTTAGTGAGGTTCTCTTATACCAAAAAAGAAGGTATAATCAATTGCTTCCATTTAAATGACATATTTATTGAGGTAATCTTTTACTAAGAGAAAAAAAACAATCAATAATAAAATAAGAAGACTTGGTATTAGTCAGATATATTTCCAGCTTTTACTTTTTCTCCTTGTTTATCATTAAATTAAAACTGTAAGTAAGTCAGTGTATTTTGTGTTTATCTCTAAAAAAAATTGCATATTTAAAATTTAAAAGACTTTGTAAACAAATGATATTTTATAAAATTAATAATGCAATAAAATGGTAACATGTGATAACTAATAATCTGGAAGAAAAATTTATAATTATAAAAATATGAAGGAATAATTTAATATACTTGCAATCACTCCTATTTTTTAACAAATTTAATTCTTTATATATATAAATAAAAAAAATGCTTTATTTAGTTATATTTTAAAATGAAAATAAGGACAAAGATAAAGAATTGTTGGATTTGCATCCAGATGAGAATAAAAACTTCATTATTCAATCGTTTTTGCATCAAAAACAAAAACTGCTGGGTGTAATATACTAAAATAAAAAGAGAATAATATATATAAACAAAAAATGTTGGAAGTGTTAAAAAGTTAAAATAATGTAATCAAATGATATTAAGTGTCATAAAAATTAATTCATCAAAGGAGTGTATTTCACAGCATGGTCTTGCAAAACGATTCAATGCATCAAAATTGTACATATCCAAAATTATCAGTAAAAAACATGATATTCTTTATAATAAAAAAACTTAAATATAAAAAAAAAACTCCAATAATAGCTGACTAATAAAAACAAGTAATACTTCATTTCAAAGCTTATTTTAATTTATATAAACTACAAACTTCTATCTATGATTTATCTAAAACATTTAAAATTTCTGAAAATATATTAGTAATAGTAAATTAAAATTTATATATGCAAACTATAAAAAATATAAAGAACCTGCTCCTTTTCATCTTCAAATAATTCTTTAAATTTTTTATCTGGCTTTGCTTTTGGAAACGGTTGCTCATTAAAACTATGTTCGCTTTTTGGTTGTAAGTTAAACTCGTTGCAGTCATTTTTATTAGTTGACAAGTTATTTTCCATGCTAATGATCCAATTTTAACCCACATACATTATACTCACAGTTTGTTTTTATAATCTAATATTATTGCTTAAAAAAAATATGGCAATTATGAGACAATTTAGCTCCTGTATAAAAGAGATAAGTTAGCAAAAGAAATCAACATTAAAAGTCTAAATACTTTACTGTCTACAAAAAGAGGCTAAAGTTCAAAGTTGTTATTTAATTGTTGATAGCAATTTTTAACTAATTTTATGTATTTTATGTATTTTCTTGTTTATAATAAATTCAAATTTTTATACCAAAAATAAACTTCATTTAATACATATACTTTGATTTTGATCTTTAACAAATCAAAATTTTTGAATTTTTTACAAAACAAATGGTTTTAAATACTTTAAACTTTATTTATTTATTATTCTTATTTTAAGAAAAAATATTTAAACAGATACCTTGCTACATCAGATTTAAATCAAATTTTGAACTATAAAATGTTTTTAAAAGTTTTAAACATACTGAATATGAAATTATGCAAATGTACTGACAATTTTTTACTGAAAACTCTTATATTACAGTGCTAGTGTTCTTTAAGCTATACTTGCCAGGAAAAATGAATTTTGTAAACCTGTTTTAACGGTTCTACAAAAACTATTTTATTGAATTTAAACAACTAAACAATATAAATTGCATGTTAATAATTTATTTCAGTTTATTTCAAAACAAAGAGATTGATGGTTTTAAAATATTGTAGAAAAATAAATAAATATAATATTATATAATTTATTGTTTTGAATTCTCATAAACCATTATTTTATGAGCATTCCACTTCCAAAAGTAATGCAACTTTTTAAAAAAATGGAGCTATCATAAAAAAAGTTAACAAAACGTAGATTAACATTATTTAAAAGTTGTTTTAATAATATATTTAATTTATAATAATTTATATATATTTATAATAACTTTTTATGTTTAATATAATAATCTCATAATTCTATTTAAATTACATCCGGTTTTTTTAAGAGCGTGTTAAAAAAATTTCTTGGTAAAATTTATTTCCTCTTTTTTTACCGGAGTTTACTTATTTAGTTTTTAATAGTCATATAATATGTTAATATAACTACGGTAAAGATAAACGGGGAAAATCAAAAAAAAAAAAAAGTGGGGAGCATCGGAAGAACACCTGTAAAATTTAATCTGGTGATAAAATATTTAAAACGCAACAAGTAGTGAGTTTATAAATGGAGCTTTAATGATTGATTATTGATTGACATGTTCAGAAATTTTGTTAAAACATTTAAATGTTTTAGAAAAATTTCTGAACATAAAGCTAAATATTTAGCTTTATTCCACCCTACAGTGCCTAAAGTTGAGCCCAATGGCTATCCCATTGTCAATAGCAAAAAAAAAAAAAAATTTGTTATGTTCAATTTTAGTGGCAAAAACCCCTTTAAAATCATTTTTTAAATAAAGAAAATTTTTTTTTTTCTAAAACGAGTTCATTTAACAAAGTTATTACGCGTTCCAAATAAAATTAAGTTTGACACTAAATGTTAAAAAGATTTATTATGAATGGCACTTCGTTGCCGTGGCAACATATTAACTCTGGGAAAAATGTCAAATTAGTTTTCTCACATTGGAGTCAATTAAAATTATACTTTTAGCTGATTTTTTCCCAACATATTGTAGAAAAATAGATCTATGCAATAAGCTGACAGTTTTGCTAACAACTATTGTGTCAGGTGGAAGGCCTGTTAAACTTTAGCAATCATCTTAAGCACATAAATGTTAAACGTTTTCTTTAATTTCTATAGTTTCAAAATAAAAATATTTTAAAAAATATAAAAAGTTAAAAATTAAAAAGACCCGTCTATTTTTTACCTGTCTGATTTTAAAAAAAAAAATTTTTTGATTGCATATATCTTTATAAGAGGAATACTTCCTGAAATTTTCATATAAATCATCAGTCAAGTGGTTTTTAAGCTACGTCTGTCGGGAGATTAAAAACACGCATTCTTAGAATAAATGCCAAATAATATAAAATTGTGTAGAAAATATTTTAAAACAAAAAAAATACAAAAAATATCGCATAGAAGGAGCATAATAATAATATTTTTATTAAATTATCAACACCATCCCCAAACATATTTCTTTCTTTCTGTTCAAATTTTTCAGATTTTTTATGTTTGCAGCTACTTAAAATCTTCTTTCAATTTTTATACTCTGACATGCAAACTCTTCTCTAGTTCAAGTATTTTCAATCAGAAATGGTGAGCTGCCCTGGTATCATATTCAGCCTTTCCAATAGCATCGTAGAGTCCAAATTTTAGCTGCGTGAGCGATCATACTTTGACTTTTTTATTCTGGACCATTGCATTAAACCTTTCAGTTTTGTTTTATGTTTTCCATGAAGTAAACGATTTCAGTAAGTGTTATTTCTGGTGTTATTTCTACGTAAATAGACTTTAATTTAAGTAAAATATCATCAGTACTAAGTTCTGGTCCTAGTTTATATTCATTGGTCCCGTTAGCTTTATCCCGATTGTATTTACACTAACTCTCTTTAACTGCGGGAAAATGCAGGTAATGCCAATTATATATGTTGGAAAATGTTACATCAGTTTAGTTACTTCAATACACTTGTATGTACTTTTGACAGTAGTGTAGCTTTTACTTTCACCATCAATCAAGTATTCTGTGTACATTAAGTTTCTCTACAGAACGATTAAATGCCTTTTTTGCACGGGCTGTTTACATTCTACTGGCTGATCCTTCATAGTTTTTATTGCAAATCTATGTTTTTTTTCCGCACCGGTTGGCTGCTTCTTCAAATTGACAATTTCTTTGTTTATAATCACATAGTTTACATTTTCTAGCTAACGCTTCGACATCTAAAACCTTCTCACTTTTGATGTATAATGCTGTGGTCACCCCATTGTGCGAACTTTGTCCCTTTATTGCTTATATTCCATCAACAGAAACTCCAGTACCCACTATCTTTTGTTAGGAGATTCGCCTTTCTGAGTTTTTATGCGCAGCTTCATGCTTTATTGCAGTAGCAACCGCTTGTGCTGCAGTTGTCAAATTCTGAATAATATAATTGTAGCATTTGAAGGTGTTATAAAATCTTTTTAAGATACTCATAAGGATGATAAACCGATGTAGATCAGCATGGCCTTTGACCAAAGGTTTCCATGGAGTACATCAATCTCTTAATATAATGACTTTTTAATTTCGCTTAACTACAACAGAGATGGTCATTTTGAACATCAAACATTCTGAACATCTAAGTTTATCAAAAATGAGAACAAGAATTTGTATATCAATAAACCTGTAGCCACTGACACGTTTTGAGTACCCTAAGTTCATTTCAAGTTCCACTTGGTACCATTACTAGCTTCCCTTTGTTTTTTGATGCACTTTCAAATATATTTTCACTTTTAATATTTACTATTCATACATAATAGAGTCTACTGCACTTACATAATTATAAAACTATTTGCTCCAATATTTACACATTATTCTTGCTTTCTTAAACTATAAAAATACATTTACGTTTTTGTAGACGTTTAGTAGAAAATTCACCTCTATAACTAATATAATCCGTCTGAGACATGTCTATTTTTCTTTAGTTATATAGAAAGCTTGTGTTAATTGTGTAGTAATTAGAAAAGATGACTTATAATAAGCAATTCAAACATAGTAAAACATGGCTCTATGGTGGCTAACCACTAAATAAATCTCAATTTTTATCATAACTTGGTTTTTTAGATTTCTTTTACTTTATATCAATTCAACATAGCTGTAAATGAAATCTATTTTGACATAGCTTTAGTCTATTGTGAGTCATTCTACTTTATTTAGGCTTAATTAGGAGATTTTACCTTGACAAAGGTAGCAATACTAACTTAGATTTACAATTGCTTTCTCTCTTTACCTTGATTTAATTTTTTTGTCAGATTTTGTTAATTACGTGTTAATTTAATTAGCCAACATGGTTTTTCTAATATTTTATGATAAAAGTGTGCGTAAGTTACTTGAGTTATATGGTTCATCAGATAGTATCATATGATAATTTTTTGAGGTATTAGCCAAGCTTTGTACTTTTTACATTGCCCAAAAAACATTTTTGTTCACAAAGATTTAAGTTAAGAGTAAACTCTGATGTGTTGTAGTTTAATGAAGGAATTGCTGATGTTCTGAGAGTAATGAGTCTCTTCAACCTTAAGAGTGGTTTAAACAACGCAATGTTTTCATATTTTAAGGATCAAAAACGCATCGTCAATATGGACACTTTAGAAAGATAAAGCAGAAAATTGCAATTAAAAGTCATTAATAAGACATTAATAAATTATAATAAATAAGAATTTACAAAGCGAAGAACAACAACTAGAATCTTGTAAACTTTAATCATCTGGAAGTTTTTGATATTTTTTTAGTTTTAAAATGTTTATTTCTGTTTTGTAACTGATGCTTTTTTTGTGCAATTTTTTTGAAAAATCATTGTTTATAAGTGAGGTTTTTGCTTCAAATTTTTAATGTTTGTTCTACGTTAGAGAGGACCTGAAGCAAAACTGATGTCAAAATTAGATTACTTCATGAGTTATTAACTTTTTTCTGTTCAATTTCATATGCTGACCCTCCAATTTTTGATGCTTTTTTTTTTGAAAAAATCAAAAGTTACAACTTTTATCACGAGTTTTTGCTATAATTTTGTTTCACGTCATTTTAAGCATAAAAAACGTTTCACTAAATATGAAGTTCTAGTTTTTAGTGGTTTTTAAGTTATTCAAAATTTAAATTTTACTGTTTTTTTTTTACAACCTTTTTAACATATTTTTGGAATTTTTGCAATTGTAATTGTTGCAAAATAAAACTTTTTTTCCACATTTTTAATCATAATATATCATAATACGTTATTTAATAAAAAATAATAAAATTCAAGAAAGTTTTTTTAGTGGTAAGTCAGTTTATAAATAGCAGAAACCATTTTTAACAATGCTTCAAGAAAAAAAGACAAAAAAGCTAGTCTAAATCTGTTTTATTGACAGTTACTCTGTAACTCGAAGCGTTGCTAAACTTAACATAGGTGG